CATGAAGTGCTTACATGTCTTTGAAGCTCCAGTAATTATGCAGTTAAGTCAGATTTTCTTTGATAAATTTGGAAATGGTGTGTAATTTCCCAATTTTTGTCAAGAAATTCTAACGTTTAGTTAAAACTGATACGAAAACAAAACCGAAGCTTGACTCGAGAGACTCTTAACATCAGTCTGTAACATGTTTCTGTGTAGCTGGCCTCATCCAGCCTGCTGAAGATCGGTCAGGAAACGGACAAGATGACGACGCGTAACAGAGAATCTGTCTACCTGCTGCTGGACATGGTAAGAAAACTACGTACAGGAGACTTGATCTGTCGAGACTTGTTCCTCTTTTAAAAGTAAAACATCCTAAAAAGCAACTATCAAAGCTATATCAGGATGTGAAAAAGTGCAGAATTATTTTTAACATTCAAGTTTACTTCTGAGTATTACCGTATATTTCCAATCGTCTAAGAGTTGTTCTGCATTTCGTTTCTGCTTCAGATTGTGCAGGAGTCTCCCTTCCTCACCATGGACCTGCTGGAGTCCTGTTTCCCTTACGTCCTGTTGCGAAACGCCTACCACGCCGTCTACAAACAGAGCATCAGCGCTAATGCATAGACACACACACAGACACTAACCACACAAAGGCATACCTTATAGTCTGCTATTGAATGGGGGTACAAACAAAACAAATACACACTACCAGACTACACTAAATCCAAACTAAACACACTAATCTATGCCTACAAAGCCTCAGCGTGTTCGGACAAAAAAAGCAACACTGTCGGCATTTAACATTAAACGAGTAGCATTTAAAACAAATCCACTCAAAATATATAAGAAGAGCGTACGAAACACAAGCACTCGAATTAAAAAGAGGGAAAAAACACAACATATGAACAGAAACACACGAGCTGGATGAAGTTGGGGGATCAGTGTCTTTATTTTAATCGTACCGTTTCCATGATGTTGCCAGGGACCACGACCATAGCAACACAAAAAATACATAATGTTTGGTTGGTATAAAAGAACAAAAGTATAAATATATAGTATATATATATAGTTGACACTAAAATATTTTTTTCTCCTTTGTTTTTTTTTGTTTGTTTTTTTAATTTTGCAATGAAAGTTTTGAGAACTTTAGTGGCCAGCTGATAACTACTATGTGGTGATGGATTTTTGGATGCTTACTTTGAGAATGCAAATGATTCTGATGTTTTTGTGGGGTTTATTATTATTCTTATTATATTTCTTTTATGGATGCGGGGTGAGGATTCCTGTGTTGATACTGAAAGACACGTTGCTCGTTAATCTGAGTTTACACACGCGTACAGATACACAATCCCGAGCAGATCTACGGTTCCAAACACTAATCTTCGACCATTTCCTAGCAAACAAACAAACACACGCACACACACACACACATATTCAGACAGACACACACTTGTATAACATGGTGATGTTTTCTTTCTTTTTTTTCTAGCTAGTCGTAACATGAACATTTTGTGGGTAAAGATATAATATCTGTATTCTACTTTGATGTGAAGCTGTCTGTTTTTAATGTTTATGTTTTGTTACTTTTATGACGACGACAATGACGATTTGCCAAATGTGTTGACACTAAACAAAAGAAAAGTGTGTATCAGGGCTTGGAAGGATTGGAGTGTTGACAAGTGGTGAGAAATGCCATTTTTTGGGGGCGTTTTCAGTGTTTGACGCCAGCTCTGCGGCAGCTCTGTTAAACTCTTACAGTGGGAACAAGCAAAAGAAAACACTTGCAAGTATTCCCCTCAGCTCCCCTGACTTACGCTGCAGTAGGTGCTACATGTTGTCTGCGGTAGAGTAAAACTACAAAATAACCCCTAATCAGAACGAGTCCACTCGTGGCTCCTGGAAAGGAGCTTCGTTGTTCTTTTGAAGCCCTACTGAAGCAGCTGGGGGAAGCACGCCTTACTCAAAGGCACCTTAGCAGCAGCTGATGATAGCTGACCATCTATAGTCCAGTTATATAACTGTTTAACTTTAATACTAAGGTCATTTTAACCACCTAACACTAATAAAAAAACATAAGATGAACTGGAGCTGCAATAAAAATAAACAAACAATTATTATTCACCCTCAGTGCCGCTTTCACTGGATTTGCAAATTCTGGTCGAAGGGGCATCCACCAATGACTCTTACATATTTGCGACGGTTGTGTGGGACCTTAAAGGACAGATGGACAACTTTTACAAAGTGCAGTCTGATTTTTATTTTCTTCCTCAATCAGAGCACAGCAGGGGCTACGTAATGAGACACAAACCTTACTCTCCTTAAGTTAGCCCTTTGCTAGTGTCATACTAACCCCAGGGCTCTGTCTGAAGGTCATTCTGCATACTACTCATGACTTTTAACCACTGCTGGAGTTATTCTGCAAGTGGCTGCAAAGTGAAGTCATATTTACAGAATGTAGCAGGAACACAGGAAAATGTTCAAAGGGGTGTTTCTTCTGTGGCGAGTCGGTAGTTTGCATTATGAGCTTGTAAGGACAGATCCGTGGACACATTCTGCCATTTGATGTGGAATGGTTGCTGTTTTACTTTATAACTTTTTTTTTTTTTTTTTTTTTTTTGTGTTTCTGATTCCAACTTGTAACTTAAAATGACATGAATAAAATAAACTTTAGGGCTGTGTCAGACCTGAACTCTGAGTGTGTGCCACTACCTGCGATGAATGAGGTAAAAACCGGTAAATATGAACACACAAGGGTAATTCACAGTCAGGTGACAAGTTAGACTTTAACCAATCTACTCAGGACTCCTGCAATGATCTACAAGTAAACAACTGTTACAAAAAATCAATAATAAGATGTTTCTTTTTGTTACTTTTTGTTATTTTATTCAATTATTCAAGATTTTATGGCATTCCTAACAAAACTACTTTGGTAGCCTTGCAGTGTCATAGAAAAGCCACCAGGGGGCATCCAAGATGAAGACAAAAGGTATACAGTAAATTCCTGGTGGCTGAGGGTGTGGCATATATGTTGTCAAATTTGACAAGTTATTGCAGTTATTTATAAGTGATGCCGATCACGTACGCAGAAGAACAACATATGGTAATAAAAAACATAACTCATCTTCAAAGTAATCCATTATAATAATAATAATACGTGATACATTTAGTAATTTCTCATCAAATCCAGTTTATTTGAAGAAAAACAAAAGTAGATGTAGACAAATGTATCATGATGCAGAATTGCAGCAAATTAAAGTTGCAGTTTCCAGTGCTTGGATGCAGATTTTTGAAACCATTCAGTGAGTAAAATGATGAGAAGCTATAATAAGTTGACATTTCTAATGTCAGCAACAAACTGCTGGAATCATCTCAAGAACACTTTTAAAATTAAATGCAACACAACAGAACTTTTATATGGTGTGCAGCTTAATAAGACACAAAAAGAAGGGGGAGGGACAATGACCTTTGCACCTGAGTGTAGCCAGTAATATTTGTGCTTTTCCAGTTAGATGACAGAATGTTTGAAGGATGT